GGGTCCGGCCCACGCTGCGCCTGGGCTGGGACTGGTCCCGCCGGCGCACGGTAGCAGGAAACTCTCCGCACACCTCTCTGGTTAACTTTTAAAATAAATGTAAGTAGAATCAAAACTTGAGCAGGATTCCTTGACAAGCTGATGCTAAAATTCTGCTAGAAGAGAAATTGTAGGAAAGTATTGAAGAACCAAATTAAAAAGTGAAGAAATTTGTACTCTATCAAATGGCAAAACACTATAAACAACTAGTAACTAAAAGTATGTTATTACCTAAACATTGGCAAATAGATCAATAGGTTGGGTTAATTTAAAAAATATGTGAACTCACATGCAAAGGTGGGATTAGAAAATACCAAGAGAAGTTTAGCTTGTTCAAGAATGCGATTGGATCAGTTAGGTCCATACTTGGAAATAATAAAACCAGATACCCTAGCTTATGTTAATGACTACATAAATTCCCAGTGGAATAAAAAATTAAATGCAAACATAAAACCATAAAACATTAGAAGATATTATAAAAGCGTGCTTTACGTAAGACAGAATGAGTTGCGTCTTTGCCAGCTTTCTCTTTGTACAGATATTTCCAGCTCCTCCCTTTCTTTTGGTTTTAGTCATCACCATCAACTCCTAAGTCTGCCTGACATTTCTAGTTGTATCTTACTAGTTCCATTAATTCAAGCATCCCCATCTTTGTACATTTTTGGTGGGTTGTGTTTGTTAGTTACAGAAACAAAACATACAGAAATAAAGGTGAAGATGCAAATTCTATTTCTCCTAATTGTACTTGAAAATACTCCATGTAGAAATAAAGATCATTTTAGGATTTGAATATTGGTATTTGAATACAATGTATATTCTGCTTAAAGGAGTGTATTTGAACATTTCTTAGGCTTTGGGAATTTAATACTTTCTCTGCTCTCTTGAATATGTATTTTATCAGAGGAAGTTGTATGAGTGACCAGTTTGATTTTTCTCAAGACAGAGAGCTAGGAATTGGGGTTATTAGAATCCTGTCTGTTGTTAATAGTACAAGGGTGACATTTTAGGGAATGCAGAGTGGAATAAAACTAGTAGGCAAAATAAAAACATAGGGTGAACATTAGGCCCATTCACTACCTTAGGTATTGAGGACATGAAATTAACGCTTCCTGCTCAGTTGAGTCATTGTGTTGTCATTGTGTTGTCATCTTTATTTATTTTATCCTCCCACATAGTATTTTCTCTATGCCCAGGTAGCAATTACATACTACTTTTATTTTCTTCTTCCTTTACAGGCAAAAATAGATCTTTTATTAGTTGGAGATGTCACCATTTGCTACCTGGCTGATGATATACAGAAATTCTTTCCAAATTTAGCAGAAGTTACTATCACCATTTGCGAAATGAAGAAGGCAGCTGCCCTTTTGGATGACTGCAAATTTGACATGGTTTTCTTGAAGATAACTTCATTGCTCACTGCTGAGGATCTAGAAGCTGTCAAGTCAATTAGGTAAACGTTAAGCCCTTGACTCTACCTGTAGCATAGTTTTTTTTTTTTTTTTTTTTTTTAGTGTATTTAGTACAGGGTCTATAGGGTCTCACTACACAGATCAGACTCATAATGATCATCCTGTTTTCAGTCTTCCAAGTGTGGGATTACAGACGTGCACCACCACACCCAGTCTCAATCGCAGTCTCAGCGCACTCCGAGGGTGGGAACAGCATGACATGTGGTTCCAGGGATCAAACCCCAGTCCCTGTGCTCTGCCTAAACAGGTGCTTTAGTCTGCTAAGCTATCTGGCTGGCCCTTTAACATAGTTCTTTTAAAAATGCATTTCTATAAAAATCCTGAAAAGATGATCTATTTGTATTTTATTTTTTAAAAGGAAGCATATGTTCATGGAGCTAATTTATGTATTTGCTTTTATTGCCATTTTGGTACATCATTATAAGAATTATTTTAACCTGTGAAATAATATATTTGGGTGAATACAAGACTTAATTAATTGGTTATAGAAATTTATTTGGTATATAGAGCTGACATTACTCCCACTGGTAGTATGCTTACTGCAAACAAGTATCTCGGCTTTAGGCTGTGTCAGCTGTGGACTGAAGCTGTCGCTTGGAGACAGCCCCTTGTATCCACTGAGATCAGAGATGGCTGCCTCCAGCATTCCTTTCTCATCCTGCAGCTCCATAGAAGCTCTACTTCTCTCGAGTCTACTTCAGCTCTCAAAGTCTGGAGTCCAGCATTGGAGGAGTTAGGTTCTTTCTTCCCTGACGATGTAGGATTTTGAACCACTTATATCTTTAAATAGAGTTAGGTGAGAACAATTTTTTTGATATTGAAAAAAGATAGAGACAATGGAATTATAGATAATATTGAAATACAAATTTTTCAGAATTATAGAACAGGTCTTTCTCGGTTAAAACAAAGTTTAGATGATATTGTGATCCTTGAAGAGATCAGAATGAGCAAGTTATGTATGTTGGGAAGAAAAGTACTAGGATGGGCACAAACCCTTGAGTAACTTATTAAGGAAAGATGGGGAGTGCTGCTGCTGTGGTTTCTTCTGCGTTGCTCTTGGCTTTCTGTTAGGAATTTATTTATCTCGGTAGTAGATTTCACTGCCAAACATATTACGAACCATCCTTCTGAGTTTGTGCTTATGTTATCACATACCTTTAAAAACTCTGTAGATGGGGTTCACTTGTTGCATTCACCTAGTATTTTTATTTTTACAACAGATATATGAGGTCTGTAAAGTACAATTTCATTGTTCGTACTTTTGACAGATGAGAACACTAAGGCCAAAATGACTTTTCTTTCCTAAAACTGTATGGCTTATTTTCACAAAAATCAGCTATAACTCTTTACTCTCCCTTCAGGTTTTTTCTAAAAGTGTGAATGTACTTGACTTTTGTGTTAAAGGCATTTCTTTGAAATCTGTCTGTGTGTCTCTCTAGCTCTCTCGCTTTCTCTGTCTCTGTCTCTCCATCTCTCCGTCTGTCTCCCTCTTCAAGTGCTGTGGGTGGCACCCAGGACCTAGAATGTGCCACGCAAGCACACTCGCACTTAGCTACACTCCAAATTCATACTTTTAAGATTTCATAGCAAGCAAAAGATTAGGGATAGGTAAAAAAAGTACTAAATGTACAGATATGCATATAGTAGTTTTATTATTTTTCTGCAAAAGTATTTGAAGTGTAAGGAAGTAATTGTGGAAATACTTGGACTTGTTTTTCTTGTCTCTTGTTGGTCTATTCCCAGTTCCTAATATAGGCCTTGACTAAGATCCAGTTTTATGTACCTTCCTATAAGTGAAAATGGAGGAGTGTACAGATAAGTAGTGGAAATGTAGGGTGGATGATGAGTTTAGCTTTTGTATTCCTCTTTGAACAGGGACATTTTGTTTTTGGAAGCTTTATCTTTATGGTGCTGGACTCAGGGATGTCTGGAGATTCCCTTTCCAGCTCTCAAAACCGTTAGTACTTTATAAATTATTTAACCCTTGTAGAGGGTTTTCAACATCCTCTTTTTCTTCGAGTAATGAGTATTATATATATTCTGCTTCATTGTAGGGTGTTTAAAACTCCATGTTTCCTAAAGCATAGCATCTTTTGACTTTTGGCTAACATTTAATTACTAAACCCAAATCAATTATCTGATTTAGCTTTGCTTCTTCTGTTTTATAGATTTTTCCACTTAGTATTTGTTTTTCTTTATAGTGCCTCAAAAATATTGATTGATCCAGGAACAGGTACAACTACGGTATTTTTCTTACTATTTTTTCCCTGGATGCATTATGTTCCCTTCTAGGAAATTAATTTATTATACAGTATAAGTGTCCATATTTATTTGCACCTGTAGAACACATGATGGGCTGGGGATCTAGCTCAGCATGGCACAAGTGCCTGCCTGGCAAGCGCAAGGTCCTCGGTTTGATTCCAGGTACCAGGAAAAAAAATAGAACACATGATCACAAACCCATGTATCTGTAAGGAGTATGTATTTTTATTGAAAATAAGGATAAAATTTAGCTTATTACCTATATTAGAATAAAGTGAAAGCAGCCTCTATAAAAGATTCTTAAATTTATTCTTGCAGAACAGCTATGTTTTGAGTTCAGTGATGTACTTCAATCATTCATTAAAAGATTGGTTATTTCCAGACCCATTCTTAAGAATTATAGCATATCATAACTATAGATTAGCATTCCTAATAGTACTCCCTAGTTGGTTTTTCATTTCATGAATGTATTGAAAGGATGAATTTTTAGTGAGCCTGGTGAACTCTATGCAGTGTAACATAGTTTAAGATAATCTTAAGGTTCATAGACTGCTTCAGAATTATAGGGTATTTAGCTCTTGGTTTAAGTCACTTAAGTCACACTTAAAGGGAAGATGCTTAATAATTCAGAAATATCCTAAAGTGATATGTTCCAAATGCAGGTACAGAAAATTAAAATCAATCACCCATGTACAAATCCTCACTGGAGTTGTGATTTTTCTTCCATAAAATGGCTCTATAGTTCTGAACATTCTATAATTCTCATGAGCTCAGAGCTTTTAACTCAAAGGAAAGGAATGCAGATTGTGGTTCCTGCTGTTTAGTCTACAAATACAATTTGGAGCCCATTTCATTTCCCCCCATGTAGTTTCAATTGTCTGATCAATTTACTTATCTTTTTATTAAAAAAAATAATTCTTATGAGGCGTAAGAATCTTAACAACTTCCCCGAATTCCAAAACATCCTTGGTTTAACAGTGCAACTCAGTGCCTTGGGTTAAGAGGACAACTGAGCAGATTTTAGTGAGTTTGCATGACCTAATCTCCTGAGTACTTTGCAGTAAACATACTTGCAACAGAATATCTTACGATAGCTGTGCTGCATAATATTGAAGTCAGTAGTTATATACAGCGCATAATTCTTGATAATAAATGGCTGTATTATTGGTTTATATGTTTACATTTCATAGTTAATTTAGAAGGTATTTGTTCCACTCCCAAAACATTTACTGTAAAACAGTATACTGTGTTAGCTGGCAGCAATCTCACATCTCGTGTTTACTGTGTGTTCTGATTATACCAAGAGCTTATATCGAGTGGTTGACCTATTCTAAGTTTGTATATATTTGCACAATGATGAATCTGCCTAGCAGTGTGTTTCTTAGCTGTGTCCATCGTTTAGCACATTTAGCACAGGGATGGAACAAATTTTTATATATGTATAATTTCTAATACCACATGGCATGTTAAACTTGACCTAGGAAATTTATAAGAGGAGCTCTTCTGTTGAGTGGTATAGTGAGATTAGAACATACTAACCTTCAGTAAGGACCAGCATAAGCTGGCTAGAGTGTTATTGCATGTCATCACAGGTGCCTTAGTAGATGCAAGTGAACTCACTGTCCCCACGTGCGCAGTAAAAGTGTTGATTTTCTTACTCAAATAGTTATTTTAATCAAGCAGTGAAGAAATCTGTTTCTTGTGAGGCTCAAGTAAACCAGGTGAGATTAATTTGGCTACATTTTGTCCATGGATAGCCCAATGCACAACTATCCAAGAAGGTTAGGACCCCCAACACACTGCTGACATTTTCCCTTCGCATCCTTCTGGCTCTAAATTAAATGAGTTTTAAAAATACCCTCTTATGGTTCAAAATGAAACTAGTTTAAGATTTTCCCATTCATGGGACCATGTAAGGCTTACATAGATCGTAGCTTTCAGAGGTTGATGCTTTGATAAACTCACTTTAAAAATGTATCTGAAGCATGGTAAAAATATGGTGAATGTTTCAGTTTAAAAGACATTATGGTAAAAGAGACATTGCCTTCAGTCCCCCTTAAAATACTTTACAGACTTAGCCTATCATTTTACCACTTTCTTTCTTTCTTTCTTTCTTTCTTTCTTTCTTTCTTTCTTTCTTTCTTTCTTTTTCTTTTCTTTCTTCTTTTCTTTTCTTTCTTTTTTTTTCTTCAGAACCTGGGTTTGAACTCAGGCTCTTGCACTTGCTGGGGAAGCAATTATTCTACTGAGCCATCTCCCCGGCCCACATTTTACCACTTTCTGAAGCACTTCTGAAAGTCCTTTTTCATGGGTGTCTTTAGTTTGCTGCTGTGGATAAATAGATTTAAAACATTTACTTTACATCATATGGTCATTTTGACTTGAGGAAAGACCCAGAAGTCTCATAGTGCCAGATCCAGTGAATAAGGTGGATGAGGACACACTATATTGTTTCTAATGAGCCTCCCTTTCTGTTAGATGGCACTCAGCAGTATCACTTGTTGTTTGGATCACACCTCATACAGATGCTAAAGAGAGCTTCCAGGACTGCTTCAGCAAGAGTTGATAGTTATTTTAGATTATTTAAACTGTCATCTCAAATGCACATTCCTACGAGTGTGGTTTGTTGTAGTTTATATGTAGTTAATAGTAAGACTATCATTCAGTATTGATTAAGTAGCAAGAACAAAGAGCTAAGTGTGTTCAAAGCATGGAGTAG